AAACACCCACATTATCACATTCGAGCCTCACAATAAATCTATGATGCAGATATTATTTTATTTTACAGACAAAGAAACAGAGGCTCTGAGAGATTCTGTTATTTGTCAAAGTAAAGCTATTGTGATCAAGCTGGGATACATCTTACTTCAAGTCTTTTTATCTATTCACTCTACCTTATCACTGTGCAGTAGGAGGGGGAAAAGGGCACAATATCAGAACCTGAACTGTTTTCTCAAATTTGGGCTAAAGATTCTCCATTGAGTAAATGCAGTTGCAGCCAAATTGATGCTCCCTAGTCAATCAATGAATGTAGTAAAGGGACTGTCAGGTATATGCATTACTAAGAGATTTCTCCCCTTTTCAAAGCTCAAAACTTCATTCTTCAGACTGTCACTGTTTTACAACAGTGCTAAATTCAAAAAGTAAGGTTTTGCTTTTAAGTGAAGTAGAAGACAGGCATTTTGGCCATGGAAGACTTGCACATTACCCACAGTAAAGGTTAACTACCGTTCACAATGTCTCCCTCACAAGAACATCAGATTAGTCAACTAAACATCAGCTAGCAAGCTGTGTTATTATCAATGTTATTGCTCTCTAAAAGGAACTTTATCTAACTGCAGAACACTGTAAAAAACGCTCTTCTTATCAGATATATAATCCTAAAGTGAAACAAGATCATACTTTGGAAGAAGATTTTAACAGGCTAAAGATGACACAAAGACAAACATCTACTGAAGATATTCTAACCATCTAACCATTTCATTCCCACTTTAAAATTAAAAGAATAAAACTGTCACTACTAAAAGTGTTAGGAGGGCCGGCCCCGTGGCGCACTCAGGAGAGTGCAGCGGTGGGAGCGCAGTGATGCTCCCGCCGCGGGTTCGGATCCTATATAGGAATGGCCGGTGCGCTCACTGGCTGAGCGCAGTGCGGGCGACACCAAGCCAAGGGTTGCGATCCCCTTACCGGTCACTAAAAAGACAAAAAAAAAAAAAAGTGTTAGGAAAATAGCTTAATCTTGGAGAGGGATGAGCTCTGAAAACTATAGAAATTTGAAAAAATGAACAAAACATTTCAAGCATAGCAAAAGATGTACCAAATATCCATGTATCACCACCATCTTAAGCAAGAAAACATTACAGATGGAATCGAAGCCCTGTATGACTCCTCCCAGACTCCCTTCTCCATCATCTCTCCTCAGAGGTAACTTCCCCTACCCTGAATTTGTTGTTTTTCTTTCCCAGACATTCATATATTTTTTCTACATATATATGAATCCATAAACAATATAGTAACATTGTTTTTCATGTTTATTTTATATATTTTGAATACATAATACCTGCACTACACACACAATTCAAAAGTACAAAAAGATACATAGTGCAATATCCCCCAGCTTCATACTTCCCGGGTTTTGTATGTATAAAGAGATACATTATACATATACGAGCAGTCACACTTAGGTACATATTTGCCCCTGCCTTTTATACATAATTGTTAAGCATACTATACAAACTGTTCTATTTTTACGCTAAAAATACACTTTGAAAATTGTTCTCTAGATTATATAAAGTTCCTCACTTTTTTTCCTTAATGTTCACAAGGTATTTTACTGTATGAATAAACCATAACTAAACTATTATCCTGTTAGAAAGGTTACTTCCAGTCATTTGTATATACAAGTAATATGGCAAATGAATAACCAATTTTTTGTACACATGAGCACATCTATAGAGTAAGTTCCTAGAATTTGAATTGCTGGGTTAATTTTAATAAGTACTCTAACACTTTATAGAGATGATACCAATTTATACTCCCACCAGCAATGTATGAGTGGTTTTGCGTGTTTTTAAAATATACATAAATAACATCGGACTGTATTGTTCTGCAGCTTGCTTTTGAAGGAGGCCTAACCTTATATTCTTAAGCGTTATTCATGCTGATATACACAGCTTTAGTTCATACACAGATTTTTTTTTTTTTTTTTACTTAAAGGAATTTATGTTTTGGATATACATAATTTAAAGGAATTTTTAAATAACTTCTGTGATTCATTCAGTCACCTAGAGGACAGTTACCTATTAACCTGAAACTGCAGTTTTATGTAGAAATACTCACCAACTTATTTTACATGTATAAACAACTCATTTGCTAAAAACATACCCATCCCACTAAAGAGACCATCTTCTCTAGGAAAACTAACAAAATGCCATTTTAATTTTTGTAATAGTAACATGACTCTTTGTTCATGGTTTTAATTGTTCTGGAGGTGGGAAGAGGCCCCACTATAAGGACATGGAGATTAAAATCTTGACAACCAGAAAAAAGAAAGATACCCTTGGAAATAATTAAGATAATCCAAGCATAATCCCAAATTAACCCTAGTTTTCTGTTTAAACTTTCCCCTCAAAAGTGCTACCATTAAGTAACCGGAGGATTTTTTTTAGCCTGAAAAAAAATAATCACTTTGAATTTACAGCCCACTACCCCCTAAAAATTAAATTTCCTGTAGGCATGGAATATCATATTGGAAATTTTTCTGCATATCAATATCACATCTTCTCTTAGATCTCTTTTCCACGTTATATTTACCAATGTGTATAATTCTAAAAGCTCTATCTACTCCAAATAATCTCCATTGAAATATGTGGCTAATCCTCTTATTTATAAGAATTCTTGTCAAATTAAGGGTGGTGTTAGTTACCAATATCACCACTATAGTGGCTACTTTTGCCTGCTCACTGAGCATCCATGTTCCCCTTTCCCTCTCCTAACAACACCCATTTCTGTGTAGGTGTCTACCCTGCCCTCCCCCACACTAAGTACTTCAGAAGAAGATGACCCCCCACACACATATCCAAGGGGGGGCCATATTCCTCCAAGGGCAATGCCATCCCCTTTGCTGGTGCCTACTTAGGAACACGACCCTAAGCCAATTGGCACACGGCATCCCTGGCCCGAGGGACTGGATGAGCCCATGAGATTCATGAGAGGTATGCTGGGCTTCCTTGCTTTGGAGAGAGAACCACATATGTTCTTGGCTAGGCAAGGTTGGATTTTTCTATTACTTGTGGCAAAAAGCATCCCAAATGTTTTAACAACTTAATAAAGTGGTTGATGATTTTGACCAACATCAACCAATTTGTTTACAAACAAATTTATCCAAGTTCATAAAAGCTTTGGCTAACACTGGCCTTTCAATATTTGGGAGACTGTCGACTTTGACAAGAGTATGGTATTTCAAGAGAGGCACATGTGGGTAGAGAAGTGAAGGTTAAGGAATAGTGAAGTTACTGGAGTGATTCATGTCAAAGCCACATCACAGATCAAATCCAGAAGATGAAAAATATCTTCTTGCTTTCCTATCTGCCATGCCATAAGCCACTTAGCAAATGAGAAAATAGAAGTGACTCCACTGAGGTCTACGTTAGGTAAATGAACACCCTAAACCAAGCAGAACTTCTGGCAACGGATGAGAGCATCAAGACTGTCTTATCACTATTTTGGGGGCATTAATGAACATTTCTTACCAATACATGGAAACTAAAAAGCAGTTTATAATCACTAACAAATAAAGAAAGCTCTTAGCAAAAAATAAAAAACTTCAAGGACTTACTGGCCTAATATGGACCCACCCTAACAGCTTATTACCCTATTCTGGCATTTGCTTCTTACTTCCTTACATTGTTGGCCTTGCTGATTTTCATAAGAAGGTTTAGGCAGTTGCTTCCCTGTGGGCTATACAGCAATTTTCCAGTTCTATGACTCAGAAAGGGCAAGAGAAAGAAGGGTTCTCCTCTTCCAACCCTAGATAAAATCAGAAAATGTTTATTTAGCTCTGGGAGAGCAAGGCTCAGTTAATTAATTCATTGTACAGACTTTCACAACTTTTTTTCTTTCAAGTCAAATATTTACCAAGAGCTTAGTATATGCGAGTCATAGTCTCTTGTTTATCCAAAGCCAATGCATGAATTATTTTTATCAGTTCGAAACCTCCTTCCTCTACATCCCTAATAACAAAGTCAAATATTTTAAAGAAAATAAATTTATGCTTCACAAAGTTTGCAATCAAACTTTTTGTGCCATAATTGGACTGGAGAGTACGTTTATTATTTCCAGAATACTGTGTTGAAACACAAGGATAAGCGATTCTACTTTTCCTTTTTAAAAAGTTCAAATAATGTGTACTAAGTTGTTTATTAAAATACAAATATCCTGTGAAAATAAATGGAAATGAACTGTATTCATAAACTAATAAATACTATCTGATAGTAACATCTGCACTACGAAGTTGGCACACAGAGACTGCAAAACTGATAATTCAGAAACACTGAAGGCACGGAGTCCCATTCAGAATATAAACCATGCATCGCAAAGATATGACCAGTTTATATTGATTAACTGCTCCGAAGGAAATCCCTTCCAACCAGTTGGCCCTTTTTTTTTTTTAAATTCTGTAGGTTACCCTCAAAGCAACCTTACTTTCGGAGAACACATTTCACACTCGGGAAACTGCAGGGTCAGGTAAGTCGACAGCCTCCTAAAGAGGAAGGAAATACGGACAACGCCAGGACGGCCAGGGAAGCGAGGGGCTGGCCCTGAGCCGAGGGAGCACAATCGGGGCGAACTGGAGGTCGCCTTCCCGGGGCTACCGCCCGAGACCCCGGCACCTCCACCCAGCACGGGGAGCGCGCCGCGCAGTCTCGGACTCCCCCATTTGGGAAACTTTGCACCTACGCATCCCCGCCCCTCGCACCGACCAGCCCCTCCAGCAGCGGCGCCGTCGCTATGGCGACCGGTCCCCAGCCCACCCCATCCGCCTGGGAGGGCCGCGCCGCAGTCCCACGGCGGCCTCGGGCTTCGCTCCCGCCGGAGCGAGGACAGTGGCTGCAGAGCCCGGAGACTAGAACGCAGGGGGCGGGGGAGGATGAAGAGGTGCGAAAAGCGGAAGTCGCCCGGTTCCGGGGCTGGGTCCGAGCCTTGCCCTGGGGATTCTCACCCTTCACTTTGCCGAAGGTGCCGACCCCCAGCGTGTCTCCCAGGATGTAGTGGCCGATCCTGTCCCTCATGGAAAGGTGTAGCCTCCACCTCCATGGGTAGGGGGTTTGTCAAAGTTTCCTCCACAACCTCTACTGGACCTAGCACAGCTTACAACTCTTTGCACAGAGGATTCATTGACACAGTGCTTCTTTGTTCTATATTTGCTCCCCATTTAGACAGAGGAGTCTGAGCTACACCTCTTTTACGGTTTGTTGCCCACATGCGCAGCCAACCTAGTATGGGATATGTTGTCCTTACTATGACTTTGGCAGTTCCTGTGATAGCTTCAGTGGCCATCAAGGCAGAATATATGGCTGATAGCTATTTTTCTATTAGAGAATAGCACACTCGGCATAACTTCGTATAGCATACATTATACGAAGTTATACGAGGGCAGCCGTGGCGCGGAGCCGCCGCCCTGCGCCGCCTGCCCAGTTCCCGCAGCTGGCCGTCGGGCACAGACGCTCCCCCTGGCGGGGCGGACGGGGGTCGCTGAGAGGGGCACCGGTACCCGCTTCCTTGATCCGCATCCTTTCGGCCCTGGCGCCCGCCCACCTTTAGGCGGCAGGGGGGCTTCCTGGGTGCTGAGTAGAGTGGTAGCCCCTCGGCTCCTCTCTCCTCTGACGGAGTTTCTGCCCAGAGTGGGCTCCTCTAATTACCAGTCCTCGGTCGGGAAGTCCCACTCTCCTTGTGGTTCCAAGGGGGAGGTGGACGGTGGGGAAGCCCACTCGGGTAAAGCAGATAGGTGGCTTGTTCCTATGCAGCGTGAATTGAAACATGGCAGGGGACACCGCCCTGCCAATGTTTTCTAACCTTGATTTTCATCTTTCCTGCTCAGATGGAACCTACAAGACGGAGGGAGCTTTCACTTGCGTCTTTGATGGAGTCCTGTTCCCCGCCCCCGGCTCTTTTTTAACTTTGAGCAGTAAGTTGCTGTTGGGCACCGCAACAAATCAAGCAGCCTTGCTCTTTTCTCCAGGATACTACCTTGAGATGTCTTCCCCAAAGCAAGCTGAGTTGCAGGGAGTAGGCTGGGGATGTGTGTGAATGTATGTGTCTTCGAGAAGGGAGATATTACTCAGACTTTTTGATGTTTAGGAATTAATAGTTTTAGATTATCAGTAAAATGTAGGAGAGTATTTTTAAAAGTTCGTAGAAAAAATATAATTAAAAGATATTAATTTTTCCACGAACATTTTGAAGACAGCTCCTACACTCTCACTGGACCAAAAACAAGGCTTACAGTTATATCAATCAGATCAATTGACAAATATTTATTGTACTTGCCATGAGTTAAGACTTATATTATCTATATAAATACGACCATACCATATCACAGAGGAAAGTAAAGAAAGTATAGTTATTTATAATAGAATTTTTAAGTGAGTTTGTTACTCAATTCCACTTCTATAACAGTAGGCAAAAAACTGTTTATATGTTCTCAATTTTGTATTTGGGCCACTGTCAATGGCCAAAAAAAAAAAAAAAAAATCGACTCCATGAAAATAGCATAACAAAATAAAAGACTAAAAATGTCGGGTTTTTCCCCAATGGAAATCAGTTACCCAACTCTCTTGATTTTTCCTCTTTTTAATTATGAAATCAAAGTAACGTGCAATAAGCACTTTTGTTCCAAGGAAAGTATTGCAGGGGAAGCAAAAGTCCCTGCCTTTAAGGTCAGAATTACATCAGATAATCAGAGAACAATCCCAACTACTGTTGGATAATCAAGTTCCTACTGTATTATGAACTGCACAAATTTGAAGAGCAAGAAGTTAAGAAATCTTTGATTATTGATATGTGTATATTTGGGGGACAGGCAGTGGTTACTGTTGTAACTTTTGCTGTCTGGTTCTTCGCCTTTACCTGTTTGCCTTGTGAAACTCTGCAGCTTAGGCTTTTTGGATCTCTCCAAAGCAGAAATAGCTCTCTGGATTCTCTTAGGGAAAAAACAAACAAAAACAAAAAACTAACTCCCTCCCTCTGGCAGAAATATCATCTTAAATTACTTTAAATTTGTATCATGTTTAGAATTCAGGCCAGGTAGGGTCTTTTGGGTTTTTTTGTTTTGTTTTGTTTTTTAACATAAAAGAAAAAGATCACAAGGTACTTCAGCTCTGTGCAGCGCCAGTTAAGCCACTGAGCATCTTGCAGGGGAGCAAACTGCAGCTGAACTTTGCAAATCCATTTGCCAATCTCTTCATGAAATTATGAAGACTCAAGAAACTAATACAGACTATTTTTTTTAGCAGACACATCAGTTTGTTTCTCTTTTGAACTATTGTAGATTATAATTCTATTTAATAGTCATTAAATGCCATTTTCACTTAAAAGCATTATTGAGGAAATAAAACCTAGAATCATAAATCAAAAATTGGATAGGAACTATTAAAGGTTATCTTATCCAGTTTCCTGTAGTCTTTGTTTAAGCAGCCTTAACTGCTTGGTTCTTTTTGTTTTTGTTTTCTTAAATTGAGTTAAAAAGCAAATCCAGACAGGGGAAGGGGTGAGACAGGAAGGGTTGATAGTGTATGTGTGTGGGGGGGGAGAGAATAGTATAGAGAAAAATAGTGAATTTGATTAACTGTTTCTAAAACAGTAAATAAAAAGCCTTCTGTATTCCTTTGCTTTTTACTCTTTCCTTTTTAAAAATTTTCGTCACATTTTTCTTCACACTCTATTCCTTCCATTTTCCATTGATCTATCCCCAAACCTTCACTCCCCTTTTTCTTCAAGTGTTTGTTAACTGTCAAACACTGTGGCAAATTTCATTTTAAAAATAATGAAAAGTCACTGTCCCTACCCTGGAGGAGCTCATGGTCTACAGTGGCAGTCCTCTATATTTCCTCCCCAAGGAGGCTAGATAATGTTCGCATGCTCAACATTCTTCCAGGGCAAAGGCAAAGATAAGGTAGACTATGGCTTACACCCAGTTTACTGTAACTCTGCCCCTTGCAGCAAAGTATATTGGAATAGAAGTGGACTTCCTGTCCACTTCTATAGAAGTAACCTGAATCCACTCTAGGAGAAAAGTAAATTGTTTGCAAACTTCAATACTTCAACTTTTTTTTTTTTTTTTTTAAAAAGATGACCGGTAAGGGGATCTTAACCCTTGACTTGGTGTTGTCAGCACCACGCTCAGCCAGTGAGCAAACCGGCCATCCCTATATGGGATCCGAACCGTGTTGTCAGCACCACGCTCAGCCAGTGAGCAAACCGGCCATCCCTATATGGGATCCGAACCGTGTTGTCAGCACCACGCTCAGCCAGTGAGCAAACCGGCCATCCCTATATGGGATCCGAACCGTGTTGTCAGCACCACGCTCAGCCAGTGAGCAAACCGGCCATCCCTATATGGGATCCGAACCGTGTTGTCAGCACCACGCTCAGCCAGTGAGCAAACCGGCCATCCCTATATGGGATCCGAACCCGGGGCCTTGGTGCTATCAGCACCGCACTCTCCCGAGTGAGCCACGGGCCGGCCCAATACTTCAACTTTTATTACTGCAAATAAGTTAGGATACTGTACATCTCAACACTGATAAAAACATCACAATGACCCAACAATGCAGTGGAGAACCTCCGGTCTGTGCAGTCAGTTGTCAGCTGCTTCCTCTTTAGCCCTTTAGAGATTCTGAGAGAGCTGAACCTTCATTTAGTCTTTTCCTCTTAAGGCCATTGCAGCATTACTAGACTCTACACGATCAGGGAGGTATTACGTTTCCTCAATGTCTTGGTGGTCAGAACTAAAAATTCTGAGTACTACACAGCTATTAATGCAGCCTAATATTTCATTAGCTTGTAGTAATATTGTAACTAATTCTATAATTATTAAACAAAAATTTTATTGGACAGTTTGCTAGATCCTTGGGACGTAAAAATACAAAGGAACACAGTATCTGCCTTTTAGTGGCAAAGAAAGCAATGTGATAGGGGTTATAATAAAAACACGTATATGGTCCTAAGGGCATTGTAGTGGATTAAATTACGTCCCCCCAAAACTCACTGAAGCTTGAATTATTTCCCCAAGCTTTATGTATTAGAAACTTGGCACTCCTGTGGCTGTTAAGAGGGTGGGAAATTCTATTATGGTAATTGAAAGGTGGGGCCTTGAAGAGGTGATTAGATTGTAGAACCATTCTGTACTGAATGGATTAAAAATGGTGGTCAGGCGCATGGTTCTGAGGGTGTTAAAAGAAGAGAGAGGAGAGTCTGTGTCTCTTGCTCTCTCCACTCCACCATTTTTGCAATGTGATACTCTGCCATCACTGTTGCCACCACCAAGGCTCTCACCAGATGTGTTCCCTGGATTTTTGACTCCCTAGCCTCCAAAACCGTAAGCAATAAATTTTGGTTTTTTTATAAATACCAGTTGCATGGATTTTGTTATAAGCAACAGAAATGGACTAATACAGGCATCATGAGAGGAGGGTATAATCTTTATCTGTGGAGGTTTGCCAAGGCTTTATCTTGAATATGTTTGTGGAGAAGTATTAAGAGATGATGTTCTCTACTCAAAGAGTGGCATGAAGGATGCAGGGAACTTGGAGAAGGCATATCAGATAAGGTCAAGAGTATATGCAAAAGTATAATGGGAAATAGCCTTAAGCTGTTTCAGGAAGAGCTGGTGTTTGCAGTGGATGGAATCTGGATGTTCAGAGGGCCTTGTTAGAAGAAATGAGAGGTAAACAGGACTCAATCCTGAAAGGCGTCATGTACTTCTCAGTTTGGACATTATCTTATAGAGAGTGATAAGCTATGAAAAGATATGAAGTGAATAGTTTAGAAATACATTCTTGGACTGGCTGGTTATCTCAGCTGGTTAAAGCGCCGCCTTGTAACACCAAGTTCAATGGTGCAGATCTCCATACCGGCCAGCCAGCCGTCACAAGAAAAGAAAAAGAAATACATTCTTTTCCCAAGGAAGTGGTAGCTATGGGTGCCTTGGGGAGGGAAACCAGGTGACTAGGAATCAGAGGCAGACTTTTCCCTGTATACCCCTTTGTAACTTTTTTGATTTTGAACCTTA